ATGCTTAGTCCCCAGGACAGAGAAGGGAGAGGTGCCTTTAAAAAGTTTAATGCTGCCATTCACTATCCAGCCCTATCATGGCAGGGCAGTCTTGTTTCAGAGAGAGGGACATCTGCACTAACGTAAGGAGAAGAAGCCTTCGCAACATCAGGTCTACACAAAGGAAATACACTGGAGCCCTTGAGTCTGCATGTAGAAGGAAAGAGCTTGCACTTACAGACATTTCCCATTAGATGCAAATTAGTTACATACCTGCACAAGGCCCCATTGTCCCCTTTCCACCCAAAACCTGTAGAATTTATTACCAATAGCTACCTTGCTTTCTCCAGCAATTCCAGGGATGTTGGACATACCAGTTTACAACTACTCACTGCTCAACAGCTGCCCCTTCATCCTTTCTTTCAGTCACTCTTTTTATTCACCAGGACCTAGCCATCTTCTAGCTATTCAGCACCTCCCGGGGTTCCTGTGGGAGGAGCTGGCCAACAGCACAAACTCTCTGCTCCAAGTCAGAAGAGGGCCAGAAACCACATAAAAATGCCCTCAGTCTCTGCATGGTGCATCCTGCCCTCTCGCCTTGGGACAGAATCATGGAGGTGGGGGTGTGTGGGGGGGTGCGTGTTACAAACACCAAGCTAACAACAGAAAGAAGGAACCTGAGAAAATAACCCTGGTGCTACTGCTGGGGCATTTTCCAGGCAATCCCAGCCTCTCAAATGTCCTGGGGTGAGCAGTTCAGAACATCTTCTCATTCGACCCCCTTGAAGACAGGACCAGCCTCTCTAACCCCAGGAAAGTGCCTTTTCACTGACACTCGCATATAACACAAGAAGGAAGATAGCTGGAAATGTACATCCATCCACTGTCCACTGTTTCAATAAGAATCACATATGGCTACACAGTAGGAACACTGCTTTGGTAGCAGAAAGTGGCCCACACTGATGCTAACAACTAAACTCAGCTCAGTGATGTATCCAAATTATGAGTGACTAAACCTTAGTATTTGTCTATGTGGTTTGTATTTCTGTATGTCACATACATATTTGTCTATGTATGTACATATTTATCACATAAGCGCACCTATGCAATGGGGTGTGTGTCATTTTGTAAGGATGAGTGTGTTTGTGTGTGTAATGCGAGAGCAATTAAAAGGAATTAAACTACATTCTTTAACTATTCAGACTGAGGAACTGAGACTGGATCTGTATATACACATGCATTTAGACTAAGCATTGTAGCTTGTAGACAATTTTATTAAAAAAACCGAAATGATTCTCTATCCAACACAATGCCAGGCAGCTATAGAACTCCATTCCTGTAGTTCCATCATTGCTGGATATATTAGAGCCCTCTCAGAACTGGCTTTCTTTTACTCTAGTGCTGTTGCTGCTGTGTTAGGAGAGAAATGTGGCTGCCTAATTAAAATTGTCTCACTCCGTCTCTTTTCTTGGGCTATTGTGACAAGTGCCATGCTCATTTGGCAAATCATTCCTATAGAGCTCTGGTTTCTGGGTAGGGTTGTTTTTTTTTTCCCCCCAGAGAAGATGAAAAGATAATCAAAACATCTATTATCACTCTTTGCCTGTGCTGTATACTCACTGACCTCAAGTTAATATGAACCTCAAGAGGCAAAAACAAATGGGAAGCAGACCCTCCTTGAATCTCAGAGTGCCTGATCCAAAGCCTGCTGTGAAGGCCTTCCATTAACTTCAGTGAGTTTTGGATCATGTCCACAACCCAGGGAGTTCAAACAAAGCCTACCAAACTTTTCCTGCAACCCTGGCTTATTTGAGGAGGTCTTATTTATACTGATGGATTGGAGGGAAACACAGGATCTAGAATATTTTGTCATTAAGAACTCATTTACAGGTAAATCAGGACTGCAGGATTAATTCCCCCAATACAACATGCATTTCTTGCAAAATGCCTGGGCTGATCATGATGAAGATGATGACAATGATAGTAATAATAATAATAACAGAGATGATGATAATGAAAAGTCTAATCAACTTCAACAAGAGAAGGAAAAACAGTTAGAACTTTAGGATAATATAATATAATATAATATTATATAATATAATATGTTGATGTCATTTTGTTATTGTTATTATGGTTGAACAGGCAGTGCAGCTCAAATATAGGATGACAATGCTAATGATAATGATACTAGTTTAAAAATACACACTATACTTTAGTCAAAAAGTCTTGTGTCTGAGGGTTTTTTCTAACAATGCAAAAGAGCAATTAGAAAAAGAAAGCTACTGTAATAGCAATTTTAATTCAGAGTTGCTAATTCTGTTTTTCTTTCCAAAAAAAAAAAAAAAAAGGAACGAGGGGAATGAGCATTAGTTAACTAAAAGATTTTTTATTCACATTGAACAACAAAAGCCATTCACACTAACACCATCTGCAAGAGGCAGTGGTGAAAGTAAATCCACAACGCTTTTGGAAAACAACTTCTTTTTTTATTTTTATTTTTTTATGATTTTTTTAGGCAAACTGATTCCTGTTCCCCTCCCTCCCATACCCCTTCCCTCCCCCTCTTAAAAATATAAAAATGTTGGAGCCTCAGATGACTAAAGTACAATAAATAATCAGTAAACACAAAAACATACTTTATTTGTTTTTCTTTATACAAAATAAAGAAACTAGAAGCAAAAACTATAATACATCCTTAAATTCATGTAGCCTCCAATAAACTTTTGGATTTGACTTGGTGTTTGCTAGACACATTCAGACTTGGATTTTTTTATTGGTAGTGTTAGTTATCTTTTCGCCGCATGAAAAACAAAACAACCCCCAATTAAGCCCCCCTGACCATGACAAGTCCCGCAGTCCTTGGGAGCGGAGCCGGAACTTACCACTAGGGCGCGCCTTGTCACCAGTGGAAGTTGTCTTCTTCCAGTTCCCCAGGCCCACCACCATCACCACAAACCATAGTCAACAGAAACCTTCTAAGTAAAGAAAAAAAGAGTCTTTTTTTTTTTTTCCTTTTGAGATGATTCAGATGAAAGAAAACCGAGGTGCGATTCTGGACGATCCATTACAAAAGTTGTAAAAAAGGGAGAAAACAAAGAGAATCCCCCCCGCGCCCCAAAACAAAGGGAAGAATGAAGTTCAGTCCGTCTAGAGGGTTCAGTTGAAACCTGTGACCCAGGCGAGTTCAGCTTTGGTCCACGAGATGCTGTTTCAGAGACTTGGAGAGGTCCTTCAAGCCCGGCCCGGTGGGGGAGCCAGGGCCTGCTTGGACGTGGCTGGGAAGAAAGGTACCACACGGGTCACATCCGAGGCCCGGGGCGGACCCCACGGTCCTACAGGCGCGGGAAGGCTAGAGAGGAGATGATCAGAAACTCAGGCGGAGGGAGGATTTTGGTATCAGTGTGGCTGGGCGGGGGCGGAGCTGCTCCCTGGTGCCTGTATCCGGAGGAGGTGGGGGGAGGCCGGCGCCGGTGCCCGGGCCGAGGGGCCGTGCCCCCGCGGACACGCGGGGCTCTACCACACCGCCGCCTCGCTCAGCTCCTGGGTGGGGTGCGAGAGGGGCCCGCTGTAGCCGCTGTTGCTGGACATGGAGAAGGGCGGGCTGGGGCCGCCGCTGAAGACCTCCCCGGGGATGGGGTGCAGCGAGCCCGTCATGCCCGGCTCGGGGCTCGGAGTGTCGGGGTGCGAGATCATATCCGTGTACCTTTGGTTTTCTGAGGAGTGGTGTCCGGGGAGAGGGGGCTCCAGGGGGCCCAGGGGCGTGGAGCCGGGTCCTGAGTTGGGAAGGTAGCTGGAGTCCGCCGGGGACTGCGCCTGCGAGGGCGGCCCGTGCGGGAAGAAGTCGTAGTTGCCGCCCGGCCCGTAGTAATCGCCTTGGTAATCGGGGGGCGGGGGAGCAGAGGGGTGAGCCGGGCCCCCCGCCACACGCGCGTGCCCCCCCGCACCCCCCCGCGTGTGCTGCAGCACACACAACACAGGCGTGTGACACAACCCTCCCCCCCCGCGCAGCCGTGTACCGCGCACACAACACCGGCGTGTACCACAACACGCATACACGCAAAACACAGGCACGCACCACCACACACCCCCATACAGGCGTGTACCACAACACACGCACGCACAGAGCATACAGGAGCGTACCCCCGCAACACACATATATGCACACCCATGCAGACACGTGGCCCAACACACACACACGCGTGGACCACAACACACCCACACGGGTGTATACCACAACGCACAGGCGTATGCCACAGCACCCACAGGGATGTACACCACAACACGTGCGAACTCACAGACGTGTACCACAACACGCACCCGGGTGCACACCGCAACACACGAGCACCCACACAGGCCCTCGCACAGGTGCGCAACACGAGTACGCATGCGAGCACACATCTGTATGCAACGCGCGCGCGTCTTGCACAAGCATTTCGGGGAGAGCCAGCACCCAAGGGCGCAGCACACGCGGACCAGCGCACGCACAACGCGCAGCCCAACACATGCGCGCCCAGCTGCGCGGCGCAAATCCCCGCGGGCCCGTGCGTGCAGCGCGCAGCAACGCGCAAATGCCAGCAAACAGGCAGACACTTGCCACAGATGCGCACCGGCGGGCCCAGCGCTCGCGGGCATTAAATGCACGCGCAAAAGGGGGAATCCGACCCGACCCCGCGCACACGTATGCACGCGCAACACCCGCGCGGCCCCTTCGCACGCACGCTTGCGCGCGCTTCTCCCTGTCCCCGGACGCCCCGGGTGTCGCGAGCCCCCCCCGCTTCGCCCCCGCCGGTCCCGCCCGCGCTCCCCCGGCCGAGCTGGGCAGAGGTGTGCGGAGGAGGCGGCAGAAGCAGGCGGGAGTTTAGCTCCGGGGCCGCAGAGGTCCGGATCCACTGGCCGGAGTGACATCCGAGGCCGGGGGCAGCGAGTTTGCTCTGGGGGGAGCCAGCCGCGGGCAGCGCAGCAGAGACCCCGGGAAGAGACGAGTCCTCGGGGCGCGGAGAAGAGCGCGGGGCCTGCACCCGGCCCGGCCCGGTCCATAGCGCCGGGGCGGAAATCTGGGTTGGGGGGGGATGAACAAGCGGCAGCGGGCCCGGGCCAGGGCTGCGCCCCCAAACCATCCCCCCGTTAGGAGACGTTGGAGGCGACCTGCAGACTCCGGTTTCCCCCTTGGTTTTGAGTCACTGCAAACAACCCCCGGAGGGAAGGTCTGTCCCCGAGCCGCCACCGGGAGCAAGCAAGCGCCCGTGCCCTGCCCTCCCCCCGCGGCAATAGGGAGGTTTGCAATGAAAGGAGGTTCCCCCCAGCGCCCTTAAGCTCCCAGCTCGCAGGGCGGCCGAGCAGCCCGGAGACACCCAGCTCCAGCCTCCGGCCTCTACCCCCTTCCAGGCAGCTGCCCCCAGAGCGGGGCAACCCCCCCCCCCCC